GTTGATCAGTCTCAGGAACTGGATAGTGACTTGTTGTGGTATGGCACCCGCTGTGTTTGTTAAAAGTAACCAGGCATAAAGCTGAACATGATGTTAGCAACGGGTGCCAGGTTTTATAACGTAGCACATAGTTCTTGGATTACAATAGAAATAACTGTTTTGCTTGGCATACGAATAAAAAGATTTATTCTAATGGATACTTCTACGGAAACAACAGCTTCTGGTCTCTTTTCAGCTGATAAGAGTGACGGTATGCAGAGCTGGCCTTGGACGGAGTGGAAATCTGTGTCATTTTAACTAGGGGCAGCTCAGGGCTCTCAGACTGCAGTGGAAATATCTTTGCTTTGTTTGGCCAAACTGAAATGAAGGGGGGAGGGGGGTAGAAAGGGGGTGTTCTTCTCATTTCACTTCAGTACTTGCCAAACTGAACATTAGAAAGTTGCAAAATATAACACTACAGCAGTACAAGCAAACGTTCAAAGAGAATAAGAGGAAGAAGGGCTGTTGATAGAAAAACAGGTTACTGGAGTGGGAAGCGATGATAACAGGAGACCTGTTCCCATCAGAAAGAACTGCTTTCTGTGGTTTTACCTACCTCTTCAGCTGTGACCATGGCTATCACATTCACCCCCTGTTCCCACACCATCTGCCAGAAGTCGTGGCACGTGTGTGGCAGAGGTCCTTGGGTGGCAATGTAGTGCCACTCTTCCCCACCTACTGTAACCTGGGAGTAAGGGAGAGAGGATATACAGTCAGCGCCCCAATTGTCAGCAGTGCCTGTGCCAGAACTGCCCGTTACACATAAGAGACTATCACGAAACCTTTAATTCTTATTCCTTTACTGTGGTTCAAAATTTTGAACAAGAACCATCTTTTTCGTAATAGCAACTCTAATAAAACACAGTCTTTGGTGCTTCCAAGTCCTTTTGTGAATCCCACAAACATAGTGCTGCGAGCAAAATGTCATCTGTTTTTCTTGCCATTGCATCTGGACCACACAGATGAAAGGAAAACATTTATTTAAGGCCTTGTTTCTGAGAGGACTTAAGTCGCTTAAGTACAAATATGCAGCTGACTGACTTCCCAGGGCTTTATGACAGACCCACAGTGAAATAAAAACTGAGCACCAGAGAAAAATGTCTGTATGCTTTTAAAAGGCATTGCATGGCTGCAAAACAACACCCAGTTGTGTAGAAAGCCTGAACGTCAACAGCATTTTGCACCAGGAAAGCTAAGGTCTCTGCCGACTATGGCTTCGCTCTATTTTCTGCTCAGGCAAAAAATTATTTCTTAAACAGAATCTTACTACGCCGATCACCGTTACAGCCATGGCCAACGCTGTCCCCAGCTCGCGCAGCTATGCCCATGCGTGGTACCGAACACAGAGATCCCATCGGCCTGTTCCCAGCTACTGATGCAACCAAGACAGACCGTCAGGCTGCATTTCAAGTTTCTCTTCCTCCCTCACCTCAGGTTTTTTTCAGTTTAGAGGCTGCAATCTTCTATAGAGTAAATCCAGCATACTAAATAGCCTTCAAATGCCAGATGAAGTTCAGAATTATCTAAAGCCGTAGTCATTCAAGTCTATTTCCCAACACATAACTGACCCAAGCACACCTTGCAGAAATATCTACATATTTGCATGGCAACACATGATGAAATAATTTTTAAAGCACTGAAGCAAAGATTTACATACTATAGACTATGTAATACCTTGAGCAGACCCAGCATTACCTTGGAGTTAACTCATGTAAAACACTATATCATTTACCTGACTGAGGTAGATCTTCAGACTTAGGCAGTTAAAAAAAATTCTCACTTTTGCTTGTAAAAGTCTATTATTTTTATGATCAGTTACTTGCTATACATCAGGCAAGGTTTACATATAAATTTTCAAAGCTTTAGGTATAAGGAAGCACAACACTTTTAGAGCTGCTAAATATCATTTTAAAAAATGCTTACCAGTTAAAAGCAAGACCAGATGAAGTAATTATTTTGAGAAGTTAGAATATTTTTCCTTCTCAGACTAAGATCTTCTAATTCTACATGTTAGCCCAGAGCCACTTTTCACAACAAAGTTATAAATCCCAGAGAAAAAAATTTACAGCAGAAGTGCTGACACATCCATAAATAGCAAGGTGCTGGCGGACAATGCTATAAGGAGCAATCAATAATTCTGACAGGTTTAACTATATACTGTGTTTGAGGTAGAGGTCTTTGAATACATTTTCAGAAATAGAATCAATGTATTTGTTATTCAAACAGCTGTTCATTAAATTGAGCTGCTTGCTTTTTGTACCTGTAATTAGTCCAGCATTTGAATGGTAATCAGCTTTTCACTGCATTGAGAAAGGTTTTCAGCCCTTTACATCTAGCTCATTTTCTTATTTCGTTCTACACACTATTCTCCTTTGTGACTGATTATTAAAATCTCCAAGACCAATGCCAACAAACTCCTGAAATTCTTGTACTATATGGAAATACAAGCTGCGCAGCACTAACCTGGATCTGGTCTAGCACTTGAATAGTGGTGTACAGTCATGTGTGTTGATATAATATTACTGAGCGTTTTATGTTAGTGCTGGTCTGACTCAAGCAATCAAATGCAGTGGTCTTAAAAACCCTCTTTTTTCCATAGTCCATAAATTCAGTTATGGTTCCTGAGTCTGGTATAGATGACAATCTCAGTATCATAACGGCAAAGCTCGATGGTAAATAAGCGGAGAAATAGTGAAAAACTGCAGGGCTCGCAGACTGAGTGGTGGGAGCTGGAACCCTCCAGGCATGGATCTTATCAGGATGATATAGGAGTTTTCTTTGTCTACTGACTTCTGGTCCAAATATCCAGCCTCCTGGCACACAATATGAAAGCACCATAAATAGTCCGGAGGGAATGTGATGCCTGGAATGTTTACTGCATTCTAGTGCCTTGACTGCAGGATATTAAAAATTGAATATTGGGCTGCAAACACACACAGTGTCCTACGGAGGTAAATTTCACAGATGCGATTTCACCTTCTAAGCAAAAGAACATCTGCTTGGCTTCCGTAACCGCCGCTTGGAGCGCGAGAGGAAAACACTGGCAAGAGCCACCGTCATACACTAAAACATTTGTGCGTGTTCCTGGGTGCTCTACGGACGTGCAACGAGTGCATGTCCAACAATGACATGCGAGGTAAAATGTGGACTCATAACTGGCCAGGGAAAATTCTTTTCTGGCTAGCACTGCCTTGTGGGCACAATTGATGCTAGGAATCTTTTTTTTTTTTGTCCTCCCACAAAGTAGATGAAAAATTTTGGGTTCGGAAATACATCATCCTAGCAATGTCTGATTATGCAAAAACTCAGTATCTACAACCTACCAGGCTACGGTAGAGAAGTGACAACCTGCCAGGACACTGGTTTAGAAAACTGTTTTGGATCAACAGGATTTAACACTGTAAATCACAACCAAGGAGGCCAACAATTCTCTTTAAGCTTAAAAGGACTTTATTCCAGGAAAATATAAATTAACTGGATGTTTTATTTATTATTTTTTCAATTATTACTTTTTAATTTGGATTTTGACAATGAGAAAAGGCAGACAGCCCTCTCTGGCAATAGAATCTGTCGTCTAAGAGAGAAGGGTGCTGTTACTTCTCTTAGGGCAGCGCAGAAGCCCGCAAAGGACTCCACAAATAGTCATTTGAAGCTTAAAGAAAGACAAGCATCTGCAGCCACTGCAAGACAGTTCACCATTAAAACTGGCTACGTTTGTAAGTAACAAGCAGAGTCAGATCATACCTTAAATAGTTCCTACGTTGAATTACCAAACAGAAATCTGAAGTATTTTGACAGAAACTTATTTTGAAACATAAGAGTCTAATGTTGTAGCCAAACAGAATTATAGGGATCTCGGACATATGGTGTTCTCTTTACGAAGGCAAAATATATATATATAAAAAACACACACATATATATATATATATATATACACACACACACACACACTCAGCTCCCACGATACCAGGAAGAAATTTGTTATTTACATATACAACTGCAATATCTATGTGAACATGCATTACTCACAGGGCTGCATGCGTTGTTTTGGACATTGCACTGCATGCATGGAACTGCATGCCTGATTTTTAAAAATAAATCCTATACACTAGTAATGGAGAAAATGATCTCACAGTCAAACCTTGCATAGTACTTCTGTTAGGCTGTACTGGTCAGTGGGGCAAGGACCTGGTCTAGGAACCAGGTTGGCTGCTCTAGTCCCAGCGTGACCTGCAAGCCTACTGCGATTGATAAATCACAACATGTATTGTCTGCGCACATGAAGTTTCCCACCACCCGAATATCTCTACTGAAAACTTCCACTAGTGGAAACCCTGACTATACTCCTCTCTGGGAGCAGAACACCCTTACCCCTACTTTTTGCTGCGTCTTTCTTCCAGGTATAGGGTTGTGCCAGCTGTATGGCATTGCAGGCACTGGGGCTGATCTAACTCATTTTCATGAGGTTTAAGAAATGTGGCATTTTTTACATTAACTGATTGAGACATTTCATAAGCAGCTGGCAGAAATGGGCACAAAAAAGTAGGATGCCTCCCTAAAATGACTTCCAAAGCTCTTGCAAATAAATCAACTCATGCATGTTAATTGATCTGGGAATTTAGAGATGCACATGTTGACATAAAGGTACGGTGATGCATTCTGTTTTGATTGAGTTACCTTTCCACAAATTCCAGAATTACAGAAAACTCTGCTGTGCATCCAGATATACAAACAAAGCCCTAATGCGCTTTCATTTGCGATGCAAATTTCAAGAAAGCTTTTACCTTTATGTGCGAAGCATTGATGTAGCCTGTATTATTTTCTTTGGTTGGCACCAGCTCGACTCTGTTCTCTTCATAAGGAACAACCTCCCTGATACGGTTGCGCTCAGTGTTTTCAGGCAAGGCAGCAGTGGTGAAGATCCCATCTGCCTTTTTCTTTGGAATCTGCTCGTATTCTGTAAACACCATCCCCTCTTCCAACTTCCTCTTCAAGATTTTGCACTACGATTTAACAGAAAGGAATACCAATCAATTAGCCTTTCCTAGGAGAATGTTTACCGCTAGACCAGGTGCATCAGTTCTATAAATTTCAATATATAACCATAATATTCTCTTACTCTCTTGTCAGTTGCAGTTACCTAAGGAAATATGACTCCCTTTATTTTTGCTAGCTGAAACCATCAGCAAATTTTACATTTCTGCTTTGTACCTTCACATTTTTAACATTTTGATGTCAGGAAAAGCAAAAGCATGATAAATATAATCCTGATTCAGTATAAATTTGTCACCGCAATAAATACTTGTAAAGCTATTTTAAATTTCTCTTTATATGAAAGAGACTTCATTGTGAGAAGTGTAATGTGGTCCACATTTTCAAAATACTGCCTAGCCGGCGTGCATGCAATTTCTGTGGTCATATAAAACCCCACATACGTACAAACTAAGGGCATATTCTGTCATCTGCATACCAGACACTAAGTCTGCAAAACTCGATTCAGAAAGCCAGAAAGAAAGATTCTTTGCAAATATCTTGCAAATCTTAACGCCAGTAACTGTTTTTAATTTCTGAAATTCCATATGCATGCACATGTGCAAACATTAAGACATATGGGTTTTTTTTATTTAATTAGAGACATTATCTGAACCTGTTAGTTTTCATCAAAAGATGAAGAATGTTATCTAATGAAGATCACTATGGAAAGACTCCCTCATCAAGTAGAAAACGTACAAAATATTAGATTTACAGCCTGATCTTGTATGACATTGAACAGTCACGTGAAATGCTGAGCAGCCTCAACTTTCACTGACTTCAGTAAATGTTAAACCCATTTAACATTTTGTTTAACATCCAAAGATGCATCAGTGTTAACCGCAGACCTTTGCCACTAACAGCTCTGAGGACAGTTATGTGAGAAACGGTTTCACGCTTTAAATGAAATTTTAGTATCCTGGAAACTCGATGCTGCTAGGAAGAAAAGGAATGAGCAGCATTTCAGAAGCCTCCATCTTACCCTCTCATCCATTGGCACCTTGGCTACTTCATCCTGGCTGTCCTCCGGCACGGGAACCCTAGCAACCGAGAGCCCGTTCAGCGCTGCCAACATCAAGGGCCTCTTCTGGGCCTCCAGGCCTGCCATCTTCTGCTTTTCTAGATTCTTTTGGCAAGAAAAGGCACGTTTTCATCTCTGTGTGATTATTTATAATGCCAGTAAAATGCTGGAATGTTTTTTTAATCTCCAAAATCTGCAACTCTCTGGCCAAGGAATGCAGATGATCACCATTAGCATCGTAAATTCAAATACAACCTCTATTCTTCCTGTTATTCCTCACAGGCCTGCTCCTACATGAGCGCAGAATTTTAATTTCAAAGAAGCAATTCCAGTGTATAATGCAGTTTACATGCCATCAAAAGACATACAAATACAATCTTGAGCGTTTTCCTGTAAACATAATTCTGAATGTAGGACACACAAAGCATCACCCTGTGATGTTAAAGGAGCACTGCCATAGCCAAAATACGTGTGGCATCTTTTAAAAAGCAATAATTTCAATCTTTTGCAACAAAAAGTAAAATGCAGGATAGCTGTTTCTCTTCTGCAATGTTAATACTTAAAATGAGAAGTGTTCTGATACAGTCACTTTTAAGTCCTTACGCCACTGGGGGCTGAAGCATTAAGAAAAGAGACAGACAATCTCCAGAGGGAACAGAATGAGAAATATTTTATTCTGTTTCCTTGATAGTTTTTCCTGCCTATTTTGGAGGGAAAGCTGTGCACAAGGGAGGCCTGCTTCACAGCACGCGTATGAAGGCTGTGGCTACCAAACAGGCCAAGCTCAGCTCCTGGAAACATGCTACCGAACCTGAATGGGTTCCTCCCAAGTGCTACATAAAAAGCAAAACAAAATCCCAAAACACTCTGCTTTTTTTTTCTTTTTTAAATTCCTATTAGGTTTTCAGAAAGCAGAAAAAGGAAGGATTTTTTTTAATCTTTATTTTAAAAAGTAAAATAGAAAGTTCGTGTTTAAAAGATCAAGCTCTCTGAATTACAGGTGGTATGGTATGCAATTCCTGTGGTAAAAGAAGGGTTTACACATCTTAAGAGTCCTGAACAAGCCTGAAACCACTTTAAAAGCTTAATGCTAAGAACACCCACCTACTTTCCAAAAAAAATTACCAAAACGTATATACTGAAAGAATGAGCAAAGGCTGATCTGAATGATTATGCAGAGGACGAGAACTCAAATAACATCTCTGAGCTCTCTTCTCACCTTGAGTTGCATCCTAAAATCCTTTAGGATCCTGCTTCTCACTGTGCTTTCACTCCCCCAAAAGGTCAAAAAAACATATATACACTTGCCGTTACATCCTATCTCTGCAGAATTCATACATGAAAGATTACGTTTTATAGTCAGACATCTATTTTATATTTAAAGTTTAAGATTCTGTATGGATTAAATTCAGTTTGCCACAATATAACTGAGTGGCACAAGTTTGATTGCCAATCATTACATCAGAGCAAGAATCAACAGTGAACAAGAAGTGTTATACATAACTTAGAAAAATGCTCTGACTATTCAGTGGTATTTAAATCTAAGTAGTCAGTAATCTAGCACACTGCAAACAATTTCTTTCCTGTTCTGGCTCATTTGGATGTTTCATGAATTTTTTTCAGCAACGGTGTTGTGTAAGGCCTAAATTCTGAAAAAAGAATCATGACACATGCTTGACTTTGTGACTGCAGTTGCACTTCCCGACATGTAACATCAAGTACACAAATAAGTCACTGCAACGCAAACATCCCTCATATTCCTTCTGTTGCACAGGGCAGGACTGAAGTCTTTAAATACTTTTTATTCTAAATTCGTTGTGGGCTTAAAAGGACCCTATTTCTCACACGTGAGTATGTGAGCAAGGAGGAAAATAAATAAATAAATAAATAAGCAAATAAATAACAAACAGATCTTCAACCACCCAGCCTCTGCTTTCTCTGATTCTGTAATTAGGTATCAGGTCACTGTTATTGGCAAAATCGTGTGTTATAGAAAGCGGCAGGAAAGGCAATCAAACAGATACCTCAAAACAAAACAAACAAAAAAACCCCTCAGAGTCTCCATTATGTTATCTATGATGAAATACTTGATTCTACATCCCTGGGAAGAAGGAATAAAATCCTACCGCCAAACCAGAGTTCTCCATTCACCTCGGCAAACACATTTCAGACTCCCTCTGCTCTCAAATCTGCTGAAGCGGGAAGGGAGCAGACCTTAAGCGGATGCTTTGTGATTGGCCCCCTCTTCACCCAGCTGCGTGATCTGCTGCCCTCCCTTTTGCTGGCACTACTGCCAGCGTGGCTGCAGGATCACCCAGATCAGCCGCCGATCCGGCCAGCAGCACAGACACCTGAGTGATAACCACAGGGAAGCAGCGGAAAAGTCCAGTGAGAATACATGGGATCAACCCCTTCCAGTGGCCACACGGATCCCTGAAACCAAATTTTAAGTGACACTTAACACTGCATTTCCTAACGTTAAGCAAATCAACACTTTCCCATTTGCATGCTACTCCTAATTTACTGAACCAACAGTTTTTTGGTACGCAAAAAACCCCATATGATTACCAAGCTTCAAGAAGTCACCGCAACAGAGGGAGGCACTTACCCTCATCATGATTTCTCTTTCTATAATGCTGTCTTCAATAGAAAACATCTCAGACACGGGCCTTTCCTTGACAGGCTCTTTCTTGACCCTCTCCTTCACGCTTGTGAGGTCAGGCTCTGAGATAGAGGGCCCAAGCGAAGACCCGTTTATAGCCATTTGATCAGTTCGAGATACACTAATGGCCTTGGACGGCCCCGGCCTCATGGCCTTGGCCCTGGCAACAGCCACAGAAACGCTAACGTGGTCCTGCCTCAGAGCTCCGTTGCTGACACTTTTACGAGGCCCAGGATATTCTGGAGGAGGTTTATTTGGTATTCTAGCCAAGGCAGCTTGTAACTGAGCGCTATATTCCATGTTCTCATGAAGGGCTGTTATCTGTGACACAGCTTCTGCAGTTTCTTCTTCCTCTTCGCTTTCGCTGCTATGTATTAGCATTGTGGCATCGGAGAATGTCTTTTTATGATGATAACATCTGAACTGCCTCTTCTGGCTGCACCTGCTCTCGCAAAGTATTCCTGCGTGGCAGAGGGGCATTTAAAGTTTTTAATGCCATGGCTTCTATACCACGTACCATGTTGCTGATGACCTCCAAGCTATGGCGCTTGTTCACAGCTGCATGATGCTTCACTGCCATGAGGGGCTCGCTGACCTCCTGCAGCGACTGGCGGACGACCGGTGAGCTGTCCTCTTGGAACGTCTTTACTGAGAGTTGGACCTTCCGAGTGACCAGGTCAGGACTGCTCCCACTGACGTATTTGTGCCGGTGGCTGGCCAGGTCAGGGGTGCTGGTGGCAGGACGTGGGCGTGGATATGGAGGCGGGGGTCTGAACAGATAATTTTTTAACATATGAGCAGTGTTGTAATTCTGGCTGCTTTGCAGCTGCATATTAGCCAGTTCCGGTGTGCTAACAGTGTGTGAGATGGCACTGGCTGCTGTCTTATTTTGCACAGTGTTATTAGGGTTCATTTGGTCAGAGGGGGCAACAGGTTTGTTATAGCCACCACCCTGGGGCCCATAAGTCATAGCGTAAGGATGTCTCTCTCGAATCTCAGGCTGACTGTAAACTAGGTCTTCCGGCTGGTTGTAAGCATGTGTGTTTCCAATATTGAGATTCCTCAAAGACTGACTTTGGCTATCCATCTGGATCACCCCTCTCTTCATTTGCCTCATGACAGTTTCATAATCTGGAGTTGGCCGGTAAGATGGTACTATGATTGCACTATGTCTGTGGCTGGGGATATAATCAGCTCTCATGATGTCGCTTCCAGGGATGCTCAGGTTGGAGGACATCGGAGATGCCTGAATGAAGTTCTGTGAGCGATTAAGGGAGTTCATGCTGTGGGTGCTGCATACACTTCCATTGGGTCCATTACCATTCAGGTAGCTGAAGTCCATTGGACACCTGTCCAGACTGGTCTGAGACCTACCGTAGAAAGTTTCTTCATTTCCATGGAAAATGCTGTCTGCGTAGAGCAGAGATAAAGATGAGGACAATGTAACATGCAAGGACTCATTCAATGTCATCAAAACTTCAAATGCATTCTGCATCAATGATTAAAGAAGCAGCTTAGTGTACAACTGCAAGGAACATTTGGTCTTGGGAGCATCCTTGAGTCACTGATACTGAACTAAAGCAAAGCTACTGACATAAACACTCCTGACAGTTAGCAAAATATGGTAGCTCAGATCCTTGTGGGAGACATGAAAGGGGAAAGAGAGGAAGTGTTTTTGCCTGAGGTGACAAGAAAGAACAAAGGCAACTTCTCCCTCAGCATCCTGGAAGGATTCACTGTTGCTGCCTTAAGAATCCAGCACTGCTGGTCTGAGGTAATCCTAAAATATCTCTTGTGTTTTCTGTTGATGACTCTGCTTTCTATTTCTCAAAGTAGCAGATGACTGTGAATTGGAAATCCTACTTCAGACTAATCAACAGGGTTTTAGGCACCTCAAATACAATACAGCAGGGTGATCAAGACTCAGGAAAAAAAAAATTCTACAGATATGCTGAAAGAAAATTAAATGATTCAGCAAAGGATGTTTAAGAGGGCAAAGATGTCATCTTGGGTCACACTGAATGACTTTATCGCAAGACTGTCCATGTCAACAACCTTTTAAGAAAGGAATAGCAGCTCCAAAAACTCTGACACCAGTTTGTTATTCAACAATACAGAGAAGTCTGTGGTAAAACTAAGGGAACTTTCCAGTTCTTCTAAAATTGAAAGTATTCCCCATTACAGCCTCTGTTCCATAGTAAAACAGTGCTAGCCACGAAGTCATATCTTCTACTCTATGCAAAGAACTATAAGTTTTGCAAGAAGTCATTTATTATCAAACTCTACCTTAAAATTAGTCATACAGCCACTGTTCTAAAACTCTACTGGGTATGGCCTAAGAGCTCCTCTGCTGGTGAGAGCACTTCAGCTGTACCTCTCATGAACTGCAGAGAACACAGCCTACAGATTTGGACAACAGGTATTTCAAAAGATGGTGTGGTTAAGGGTGTGAGACTTGAGGTGTTCAGAGGCTCAGCTGTATTCCCTGTCTTGATCAGAATAACTTCGTGCAACCTCGTGTTGGGGGGTAAAAGTAGGCAACTCTCCTTAAGTCTATAAGTATAGTAATGCAGTGAGAAGTTGATGAAAATCAGCAGAAAAGACCAGGACACTATTCTCCCTACAGTAAGAGACATTTTCTGTCTCCTTTTCCCTCATTCCATTTCTCTCTCTGCCCCCAGTTGGCACAGCCTTTGATTGCAGCCATCATACTTTCCTCAGAAACTATTTTTTGGTTCACTGGACTGGAATGCCAAGTTTCAGGTCCATATAACCATGCACAAATATTCCAGAGAAATTTGAAAACTGAAACTGGAACTTTAAACAGAAGCCTTTCTGCAACATTAACTATAAAACTGCAAGTTCTCCTCCAGCAGAAACTCCCATTTGACCATGATGGCATTAGAAATCTAGACATAAGGGGCAGGAGCTTCTTTGCATACATATAAAGTTGAAGTCCATTAAAGAGTACATGTACACTGTAAGTACCTTGTGAATTATGTGTTTCAGTGTAGTGCTCTCCACACTGGACATGCATAGGAGGCAGTATAAATGGGTGTTGTCTTGGCTGAAATAAAAGCACAAGGCAAAAAAAAAAAAAAAAACCACGCATGAGGAACTTCACCAAAATAGTTTGCTACAATTTTTGCAGATGAAACAGAGGAAAAATGATTCTATACCCTTTCCCCGAATACGGCTCTTTCTTACCAAGCTGAACAAATGGGCCTGGCATTTCTTTATAAAATGGAGACTAATATTTTGTTAATTGTTGTTCAGTTTTGTTAATGAGCCCGAGACTGACTGGTTAGGCTCTTTTAAATTCAGTTTGCTCAGAAAACAACATTCAGGCTCCCAACTCACCTAGAACTTTTCAAAAGTTTATAAAAAGCCCTTGTCCATGAAAAATTAAAGACGAAAAAGAAAACCCACAGAGAAAACAAAAGAACAAAAAAAACACACGTTAATCAGGACAAAAGCAGGAGATGGAACAAATTCAAGGATCTGCAGGTGAAACACTGTCATACGAGCAAGGGGAGTTAGAATAACTTTATTGGTAACCTAAATACTAGATTCCCTTGATAACGAATTACCATCGTCTAATCTTCCTCCAATGATCAGCACCGCAACAAGCGTTTTAACAAAACAAATATCACAGGGGGGCAATTCAGTATTAAATCAGTGAGATGATTTACAGGGAAATAAAGCACAGCTGATGCCATATTCACCAGCTTTGTCCTTTGATAAACTCATGTGCTTTGCAACAGCATTTTACCACCTGCACTGTACTCTCTTGTCTGCAGTCACTGAGCAAAGATAAAGAAAGCATGCACTGACATATGAATTAAGCACAGAAGGAAGACGCTCTTGTCTCGTGAATCGTCTCTTCCTTAACAATGGAATAAGGGCTTTTCATCTAGGCTGATTCAAGTAGTGCAAACTATTAGCAAAGACCGTGGGTGCCCAAGGCAGAAAAAGAAACACCAAACAATTTACCTCCACATGCATATGCACACAACAAGCACCAAGCAACAATAAGCCACTGATGAGAGGGGGGAAAAGGGGTTAAAATTCTATTTTCTATGTAAATGGGGAGAGGGAAAAAGAATGAAAGAAACCGAGTGCACATACGAATTCTTGCATACGTAGCGGCTGTTAAGCCAGAGGTGGAAGAGGACAGGAAATACTTCTACTAGATCAATTACTTCTAAGGGCATAAAACACTACTCTTGCTGAACAACTGGGGCAAAGGAGGCTGCCGCTCACAGTCCAAGTAGCAGACGAGCCTGGGAAAACCAAACAGTTTGAAAGCCTAAGGGATGGGGGCAGAGGAAACCTGCAAGAAAGGAGAAAATAACTTCTACTGGAAATGCAGAGTATAGATCTGGAGTAGAGTTTGCTTTGTGATAGATGTTATGGAAACTGTCTTCAAGAAATTACGAGTTATTCTTTTCGTCGTGGGCAAGGCCTTTTTTTTTTTTTTTTTTTTTTTTTTTTTTTTTAGGGCCCATGGGGAACTGTCTCTTCTGAAGAAACAGGGGAGAAGCTTGAGATCTGCCGAATCTCAATATCCAGTTTAGGGACAACTTGGTATTTAAAAAAAATCCATTAATTAAATATATCAGCATACTAAAATCTCCTGCATGGAGGAGGTTTTTCTGGAAAATCAGCATCATTGGGTGGTCTGACAGGGATAAGAAACACAGTGTAAAATAGCCTCAGAGTAGCTGTTAATAAAATATAGGCTCATCGTGTTGCCGAAACCATGCAAAGGGTCTTAATATGAGAGCAATGAACACAATTCGCAGTCAAGTGATAGAGCCTCACCCCCAAAGATTCTCCTTCACTTCCCATTATTGTCTATTGATTTATCACCGTACAAGACAAATGAATAGGTAGGTGTATAAAGTATAGTCAGGAAGACTTTTTATTTTCTTCCCCCCTTTTCCCCCCCAAAAAAGAACTGTTCCAACAAGTTAAAAAGACAATTATGAAAAAAAAAAACCTGAAAGTTCAACATGAACAGTAAGCAGTCGGGTTCACTTTTTAATTGACGAGCATGTATTCCTCCCCGTTTGATCTTCCTGAGCCACTTTTTTTTTTGTTTTTAAACTTTTTGCATGCTTATGTTCAAAACCAATAGGCAGCAGGATTCACTTTTCCTGTTAAAAGGTAGATTTCCATTTTCCATATCTATTAGAAGAAGGCTGTTCTTTTCCTTGTGATACAGCTGAGGCAACAGCATAAGAATGCAAATCACACTTCCTCTCCTCACCCTGAATTTTTCACAGCAGACTTGAGGGACCAAACCAGTAGATAGGAAAAATACTGTAACAACGCCTCGGACAATGTAACACACAACCTCTGTGTATTATGATGCCCTAAAAACAAGCTAAAAATGAAAGGTCAAAGAAATATGAAACCCGCTAAAACAGGTTTCCTGCCAATGTCTGGGAAACACAGAATGCAACTTTTAAATCTACTATACCACGTGTAAGCATCAAGAAAGTGGCCTGTGCTGAAATCTGCAAAGATAGCGGTAACTCAATATCACTAACAGCCTAAGCTTAATTTTGGACCATTTTCACAAGCTGTGATCACATCTTGGAGATATGTCAAGAAAACGCTCCTGCCACATTAGTTCTCCATCATACAGCAATAGGCTAATGGAGTTAGCACACTGAGAAGGACTACAAAGCAAGTATAACCTGTGTCACCAATGAAAACTGGCAACCTTCATACAGATAATATTGCCCTCTGTCTAAGGGATCAGCAGTGCTGTTGCTACTCTCATTTAAGGCATTCTGAACTACTGTAAGAAATAATGACATACTAGACATTAAAACTGGATCAATAAAAAGCATGTGCTCAGAACTGACTGGAAAAAAAGATTCTTACACATTGTCTTGCAAAGATTTCATGAAATAGTTAACCAGTTTTGTCAGATTTATAGTATTTACAGAGATTTGTTAAAATGAAACAAATACTATTTAAGAAGAAGCTCAGAATCAGGATCTTGGATTGATCATAAAAGTTTTACTTAAAATTACAGTAACTTCACACAGAGAATAGGCTCTTAATCCCAGAAACTGGTAAATTAGAAGTAAATGTGACATAAAACAAAGAGGAATAGAAGAAATACAAGATGAGAAGCTGTAAAATTATATAACGACTAGATTTTTATGGATATAGCACAAGATACTTCAAATTCTTCTCAGGCTGTAAAGGATTATTTTCCTTTCCTTCCCTACATTGAATATACCTCACTCCTGTAGAAAAGATGCTCAGTTTCTGCAGGGCAAATAAAAATATAATGCCTTGAAGACTGTAATTTTTAATATTCAGTGGTGATATTACCCAGGTAAATTAATCAACGGAGGCAGCCACACCCTTGAAGCTCATTTCAATCATATTGCCTGTAAGAAACGAGTTCAGGTGCTTATTTGAAATTTAGAAAGCATTCCATCCTACACAATGGCCCATCCCTTTAGAAATGGTATAAACGTAGAGATCCCACCATGGTACATACCAAGGATGACCTACTCCAAGTGGGCCGCCGTCTGATAGGGGGAGGAGAACTTGATTGTCTGTGGGGGAAAAAGTGAAGAGAAACACTAGGAACTACAACATTACAGTTCTGATTCAAGAGCGAATGAGGAAAACAAGAGATGAAGAATCTGTAAGTACTGCTCATTAATGAGATTCAAAAAAAAATATGAACAGATGAAAATAATTCAGGTCCTCCTCTAAATACAGAAAGTATTCTGATTCCAAAATACACATATCTTCCATTCATTATTGTATTTGGCTTACTTGGAAACACAGGAAAGAAAAACTCTGTTTTAAAAATAAATCAAGCAACAACAACAACATCTCTTAAGCAATAAAAATTGAACATGTCACACAGGCACAGTCTCAGATGCCTTAAAGTGAACACTACATAATGAAAATCTTTCAAAATTCATAGCAATCACTCCAGAGCAATGCACACAGATTGGGAGGAAAAAAGTAACTGGTTAGATAATACCAGCAGAGCCAGATACACTGTTAGAGTAGCCAGTTGCAATGGAAGAAACAATAGTGGAGACAAAAAAAAGAGAGGAAGAAAAAAGTTGAAGGAGGCAGAAATATAGTGCTTACGTGAAGAGAGGAAAGGTGGAATTTCTCCTCTTACAGTTTCTGATCTGGTGAATGATTTTATGTGCAATTAGAGGAAATGCACACAGAGGAAAACAAACAACTATCATTATAACACAGAGGTCAGGAAAATTATTTGGCTAGAAAACACACACTGGAATATGCTGTCATCAATACATGTGACCCTAACATACAAGCTGGCACCACAGGACACTCTGGTATGGAGGAGACCAGTTTCGACGGCAAAAATCTATTTAAACTCCATTTATCTCACTCAGTGACTTCGTGATGTTCTCTATTTTTATTATTTCAAATATTTTTAAGTTGTATACGAAGCCGCTACATACAGCCAGTTCATGGTATCTACATACCTATTGCTCACTGTTTAGAAACAAACAGAAATAAACAGAAGAAAAAGTTATTGCTTTTGCAGTCTCTGTTATAAGCTGCAACGGAACAGTCCTCTCTGTTGATCCCAATATACCACTTCAAACAGGAAATAGTCTAAGCCAAAGGATTATGGGTTTTTGTTTTCTTTTCTGACTGCCATTGTTTTTCCAGGGGAGAGAACCAGGAGCTTCCTTTGAACTCAGTTCCTCTGAAACTGTTAAAATAAATTTGGTATTGGACTATAAAAATACAATATATTCTGCTATGAAATGTCTTTTCTGGTCTTCCGTTCAGCTCCCAAGGACAGTAAATGTCATCCAAAATCTCATCAACGTCTTTTTCCTGTAAGTAAAAAGATCGCTGTATGCAGTTCATCTCACCAGTCTCCCCAATACTCTAACTCAATGTATGTTTATATACTGTGTACACACGCAATATTAGAGAGTTAGACCTTCCAATCTTCCGTTCATTATTTTGGCTTTATTTTCTAACAGATGGCATTACCCAGCTGAACAGATGGGATGTCCAGCTTTAACTAGAGCTGTGATAGAGATGAGACTTCTTTGCAGCTACCTAGCTGGTATGTTAGATATTTTGCAAGGGATTCATATTCTCATTGCTACACAAACCTGGCATGTTATGAAAAGTCCTCAAATTCTAATTCACTCAGTTTATCTCAAACTAAAATTGGCTACATGCTGGTATGCATGAAGTATCCTCAGCTAATAAATTGATTTTTGTCTTATAACCAGCGCCTCAAGAATTCTTCCTCCAATTAGGATGGATTCACCTGTGTGAGAGGGCTAGCTCAAGGCCAGTCCCTCAGTCAGCGCTCAAAGCAGAGACTAAAAGAGAGACTTAGGGCTCTGATTCATAGGCTTTTTTGAGTCATGCTAGGATGGCTACATAGATTAACATTCCCAGGTGTCCTCCCCAGTAGCTCACTTGTTTGATGCATTTAAGAAGCAGATAAATTATACTGCCCAAATCAGGAGAGGAAAGCTGTGTTTTCCATCGACTTCAGCTGCTAGATGGCATCCTCAATAGCCTACTGCAATTCACATTTTGGCATATTAACATATTTCACCTTTCCCTCCAATTTATTCTAATATTCTGGGTCATGAATGGCAGAGACCAAGGGCTTCAATTCACAGTTCTCTGCCAGATCTGGCTGCACGGGGAGCAACATCCAACTGGGGACATGAATCAGGCCTCACAAGCCTCAGAATTACATTTCATTTTCATTCTTTTCTTCCAATTGGTAGTTAAAAAAGAAAAGGGAGAAAGAATAACTGGCACAAGTGACTAGAAAAACAAACAAAAACTGACACACAGAAACTCAGAGCGCTTCCAAAGCAGTGTGTCAGAACATAATTCTGAAAAAAAGAGTACTCACTCTGTGCAGATTTTGTTCTGTTTGTAAAACTTATGTCTTGCTGCAAACAGTCGTGAAATATATTTGGCATTTTCAAGATCATCCTTTAAACACAAGAGAAATTAGGAAAAAAAACCTAATTATTCACTTTGTTATTCTTATCAAGCATTAACAAAGAAGAGTTCTAAAAATTCAATCGCAGTAACGCTTGGTAAGGTTTCTCATGTACAGAAGCGGCTGCCAAGAACATGTCTAGCGCCCTCAAAAGCGTTCAAGGCATTGAACTACTGAAATATAGTGGCATGCCTTTACACGCTGCCACTTCACTGCTAAGTCACGGTGGGAGGGGAGGAGGGACAATGAAGAAAAATGGCTCAAGCTTGCTGGTCTAGTTTCCATACTGGCCTTGGTTCAAGGAGACATGGAGAGATTTTAAATGGTGCAGAACAGCACTGCACCCTTCCTTGAGTCCCCGTATGTGCACGTATGGGAGCCTGCGCACAGTTTCTACATCTGTATTTATGCCAGCATGAAATGTAGTACAGCACTGTGAACGTTTCATCCAACAAGCACTTCAGATTTTTTGCAAACTTATCAGCATAGTACAATTTAGGATGCCTAGAAGAGAGTGCAAACATTGATAGAGAAATAAAATTAATTTCACTCTCCACATAAAGGAGAATGCACAACTTCACGGTGGGTGGTTTTATGGGGAGAGAGTCCCTTTGGGACAATGGAATTTTAAAACTTTATTTTTTATATAAGCAGGTTTCTTGATGACACCGATTAGATCTTTTTCTTACTGTGTGAAAGAGCACATTCTCTTCTTTGTTGATCAACTCTAGAACAATTGAAGACTTGTTATGTGCTATATTCCCAATGTCATTCCACCTGTAGAAGGAAAAAAAAGTTGGAACATTTGCCAACACATACATTCAAACATTTCACAAACACATTAAGAGTCCCTTAGTCAACATCAGTCTCATTTAATGGGAAAACTTCTCAGTAGCTATTCGGTGAATAAACACAGTCAGGAAAATAAAGAAGTTGTGTCCTTAACCCAAAACAGGAGAGTCAACAGTTCTCTCTCAAAATACTCAGTAGAGGAATCACAATAAAAGATAAACTGAAAGTACATTAATAATAAACTTTAGACTGAATTGAAGCATCTTTGTAGTGATTGACTTTAGCCAAGTGGAAAAAAAATATGCGGTTCTATCGTGCCATTCCATTCCAAATGCCATTTCGAACTTTCCCATAGAGCCAATTCTTCCTAAAGAAGGTTAACACAGCAACATGGTTATGCAGGCTATGCATACCATGTTAATATTCTATGTTCCCAATCTTTTTTTCAAGTAATTGTCAGGTTACACAAGATCAGAGTTATAATCTTCTTACAAATAGCTGACAGACACATTTGCGTACATTGCATGCAATCCACGGGGATGGAAAGGACTTGTTTGTTCTGTTTGCAGCATGCATTCCTCTTCATGTCATGGCAGGATGCTTGAAGTGCATATTTCCAAAGAGCACCAACTATCCTTTCTACATTTAAGAAACTTCTTGCGTTTGTCACCTACACTTTAAGCAAGTCTTCAGAATGCCATAGTTAAAAGGAATACCTAATTTCTTCATAAAATTACACAGGGAAAACATCAGATCAAAGCCTTTTTAAGGCCAAAAAAAAAAAAAATAAAAAAGAAGAAAAAGAATGACTGAAAAAAAAGAAAAAGGAAAAAAAGAAAAACTCTTCCTGCTCAAGCCTGATACAAGCGTTAGCTACTGACTAAATATTACTCTACCTCATCACAAATAATCCATTTGGTTGCACAAATGTTCGTATTTCCATAAAAGGAAGGTCCATAAGGGACCAGGAAAAATCCATTGTAAGTTAACAATGATATTAACAAAAACAGCCCACGGAATAGTAGCAAATAATAAAAGGAAGCAGTAAAACCTTTGCTTCCCTGGAATCATGGAGATTTTTAGCAGCATCTTCACACAGGACAGGATTTTATAAGAAGTAACAAATGCCACAAAAGATGATTAATGAAAAGCCTTAAATGATCCCTAATCGCCAAAATAAACAATAGTACAGACAAGTAAGCGACACAGCCAGGATTTTCAAAATTATGGGATAAGAAAGTTCAGCTTTTTACTGGGGCACCTAAATATGGCAACCAGGTTTTCAGAAATGTTGAACACCTGGGCTGCCAGCAGTGAGGTTTAACAGATTTGCATTCAGATGCATCAAAGAGGCAGACACAAAGGCAAGAAAAGAAAAGGGATCAAAGCTTCGTAAGTAGAACAAGACACATGACAGAAAACTACGTCTTTCTTGCCGTCAAACCCATTCACAGACATCAGAAATTATTCTTTATCACATCTCTTACGGCCAAGAGGCCAGTCCTGAAAACAGTGAGGTGAGTTCTTCTCAGTTAGAGGATTGGCACTGTTGAAGTCATATGTAAGGAAGGACACCCCCCCCCCCACACACACACACAGAGCTCTGAAAAAAAAAAAAAACCCCTCACTTTAAATACAGAAGTCATTAGGTTTTTACCTATAGATCACAGTTGTCCTTCCAATTCTGTTTTTTATGAAGATGCCCATGAAGAAAATACCGAGGTGTATGTCATTTCCATGATTATCCTACACAAAAAGCATATATATTTAGTTCAATAAAGAAATTGGCCAAAGAACACATAAAAACACAGGTTGAACTACCAAACAAAAGCCATTCTTTAAGACGTAAGGCAGGACAGTTGCTAACCAATATTCTGTTGTTCTGTTTGACTCCGATTTTCATTATTTCAAAGCAGTTAACACTTAAGTGGATTCAGTCTGCTGATGAGTGAGAGCAGATGATGGCTTAATGAGCTCAAGGCTCTGTTTTGTGAAACAACAGGAACACCACAAACTGGCATTATACAATACCAACATGTTATAATGTTGGTATACAACATACATTATATAATACCCCATGTTCTCTATTATTGGAGTTATAGCTACCAAGAACCCATATGACTACCAAAAGCAATATTCTTCTTTCCTACTCACAGTATTACTCATGCCATTTGGTGAAACAGGTAGCGATTTCTGGAAACCACACCTGGAGATGGAATCCCTCCCAAAATCTATACCCTTCACACTTTCTCCTTTTGAGCACTTTGTGCAGGAGCTCACACCTTGGCACCCGAAAAAGTACTTGTATTTCTGTACAGACAGATTCTCTATTGCTTTTCAGGCTATTGGTTGCATGCATTTCACTACCTAACATCCACTATCCTTGCATTGTTTTCCAGAAATTCTATTGTTTTTGTGCGTCGCCATGTCTCCTTGCAGCCCCCTGTGGGGGAAACATGAACTCCTGTTCCACTTTGCACATGCTTGTTTTGTTAAAATTCCTTTTTCATATTGCAACAAAAGCTTAAAAGCTAATGACAAAGAGATTTTGGTACGTTTACCAACAAAAACAATTCCCCCCCCAGCTGCATACACAGTAATTAATTCACACTTTTGAGCGGTAAACAAAAATCATGATAACACAGATAGTGTGGTTAAAAAGAATGCTAAAAGAAAGGATATGAGAAAAGTTACACACGAGTTAAACAGGAGCCCCTGCATTTTAATAGATCAGATTTGAGCCATTTTCCTGGCCTTCTTGTATTTTATCCCTAGAAGGCACGAATGGAGTAGCTGCACCTGTTTCTAACCACTAAGGGTTAGTGCTCTGGCAAACAGAAGACGGACACCAGGTTTCAAGCCCCTGCCTATGTGCTGATTCTCAGCGCTGCGCATGCCAGGATTCCTCCACCCATACTCGGTCAGGTGTGGGTCAGCAGCCGACAGGCCTCAGTTTAGTCCGTTTAGAGGAATAAACTTTCTTCTGTTTTGTCCCAAACACAGCTTTAGTAAGCAAAGACATTGCGAAAAACTTTGAGGAAAAATTATGTATTTCTATCTAAATACATATTTTTATATATATGTGCACGTCAGAGGGTGTGTGTGTGTGCATGTGTACTTGCAAAAGAAGCAGATTTCTAATAGAATTTTTTAACAGGAACAGAAAAAGAAATTTTTAATCTGTCCCCTTCAGATGCATTTCTGTTTGTCCACAATGCCAGCCTGCTGTTTTCTGATATAAGGATAACATCTTCCTGCAATCTGGAGAGCACCCAATCCACCGCTCATATGTACTTCCCTTACACGCAATAATATCTAATGACAATTCCAACACAGAATTGTCATTTCAGCAGCCCACAGCGCTAGAAGGTGTTAATGTGAGGAAAACTTTGATCGGCAGTTAAGGTTCCATGATTTTGGGGGTTGCTGGGGGTTTGGTTTTGTCATTCAACTCCCAAAATCGGCCTGAAGGGCAGGATCTTTTCACTTTCGACTTCAGCAGAAGCCGAAGGGCTTTTTGTTTGGCTGGGGGGGTGGGGGGGGGTGCTGTCTGTTTTAGAGACGG